TTGTTCACCTACTCCTGGTGGTTTCGCTACTTTACCACTTGTCATTGTAGAGTCCAGTACCCGAAGTCTTTGTTAATGATATACGGATCGAAACTAGACAAGTGCGATATTTCGAAGTTACATGATGTTTCGAAATCAAGTGCGGACGAGCTTTAGTGAATATGCTGATCATTGACTTGGCCACGGTCACCGCTAACATATTCCTTTCTGGTTAATTCTAAATGTCTACACGTTTAGATAAACTGTAGGTACCTTGTTTGAGATTTTGTGTATTGTAGTAGTCTTTCTATGCTTTGTTGAAATTGTTAGGTGTTACAATCTTTGATTTTTGAAGTTAAGATAAACTTAAATCATCGTGTCTCATTATCTGAACTAGCTGTGTCCTAAATCTATATGTGCGACAGTAGCTTGATCAACCTCATAGTGCTGATTTCCAGTTAAGCAAATACTGAATCCTCTTATTTTGCTACATTAATAAAACTGTATATACACACATTTCTTTTCACTTTCCGAATTATTTAATTACTGTATGAAAGGTTTGGATAGGTCAACGAATTTGAAGATGTTTAACATTGAGGACTGGCTTTAGCTAGACAATTGTTGAAAACTAGAATTAAAATGTTGTTTCTGCTTAGTATGGAACTTATTGATAGTCCACACTCAGAATCCACCAAGGGATCAAACCGATATCTTATGGAGTCTAGTTATTTTAAGAGCACAGATCAATGAACAATTAAAAGCATTTGTAACTTTGATCAGTTCTCACTATTATACTTCAGTCACCCTTCTCTTCATTGTCTACACTATTTCAGTGTTATTCACAAGTAAATACACAACTGTCTAAATATGTCAAGTAAACCATTTTATTTATGATGATTCTCTAGCTGGTTTTCATCAAACTTTTCGAATTAATTTTTCAGTTATCCTAACAAGGAAAGCTGCTACCCCATCCTTGGTCTAAGCTAAACCTTCAACACGTTTTATTTGCTCTTGCTCAGGAAAATTCTGTACATCTTGTAGATGTTACACATGAAATACTGCTATAGACAATGATTTTCCTGGCAAAATTAATTTGGAAATATGAAATTACTATTAAGAAAAAATTTACTGTACGTTTGGAAAAATTCTAGAAATATTGATTTAAAAAAAGCTTTAAGCCAAACTTATGTCGTTATGCATGAACTTATAGCAATTAAACAAACGTGATAGCACATTCAATTGTTTTTTTTAAGGTTTCTACCTCGATTTTTTCTTATATTGAGATAGATATCACGAGTCAACCATTTGAGTTTCGTTCCAATTGTGACGTTAGTGTAATTTGCATTGCTTAACATAAACAGAGAGATAATGCTCTTCAATTTAGTCATGTATCATACATACATTAAGACTTATAATAATCACGGTACAGTCAGTTACAACGTGGAACTTCGTTCACGTTCAGGTTGCCAAACCGCATTAGCACAGAGACGCAATTGTCAATTCAAATCCCATAGTGGTGATAGGGCATTCGTAACACATGTCCCAGCCACCTCAACTGATGAAGTTTCACTACTTCATCAATTAGTCTGCCATCCCTATTTAGTACTCGTTTCTTAACTATAGCATTGCTTACTCGGTTGTCCTAGGATATACGAGTTGTGCGTCCGAGACACCCATGATCGAATACTAATGACCTACGAATGTCCCCTATTCTCACCGGCCATATTTCGCCTCCAAGTAGTAGGACAGCAAACGGATATCTCTTCTACGCCATAAGTGACATAAGTTGGCAAAAGCCAATCGAGCCTTCTGTATCCGTACTGAGATTTCGTCACACACCAGCAAGTCAATAAGCGTGTCTCCTGGTAGAAGGTCCACACCTGAAAGGTCCTGGACGATGACAATGTTAACTCTAAAAGCATATCTACGACAAGGTTAAACAAGAATGGAGAGAGGGGGGTAGTCCTGATGGACATTACTTGAAGCAAAGAATTCCGATGACAGTTCGTCATAGGCTCTCACTCTACCATGTGGTATTCGAGTAGAGAGCTTGTAAAAGGTAATATACTTCTTTGGTACACATTTCAATGACAGACACTACCACAGAACCTCACGATCCACTGAGTCGAATGCCGTCTTTAGGTCCAGGAATACAACTAGTGTAGGACGCCTAGAAGTGTGTGCGTTCCAGGACCTGTCGTAGTGTGAAGATGTGGTCTATGCATCCACGTCCAGGTCTGAAACCAGACTGGTTTTCTCTGGTCTGCTCTTTACGAGCTTTCGTTAAGCGTCAGAGTATTATTCAGGCCAATATTTTCGATACTATAATAATTAGGCTGATTCCTCTGTGATTGTCACAAGAGGACATTTGTCCTTTCTCGTAAATTGGGACAATCAGTGATTGAGACCAGTCAGATGGGGTTACGCCTAGTTCTTAGATCCTACCTATCTAACTGTTAAAACTGGCCCACCATCCTTAAAAATCTCAAGAATAAGTCTGTCAGACCCTTCTGCTCTCCTTCGCTTCAGATTTCCTATGGCTTTTCCGACTTCAAAAAGACATATTGATTTGCCATTCAGGATGACTGGAGATCGTGGGCAACCGAAGCGTGGCTGAAGGCCTACTGAATTGTTCCCTGAAGTGTTCTACCCATCGATCTGATTTCCTGAACTGAGAATGAATCATAAGCCCATCCTTTTCTGAGACAGTCTCGTTATCAGACGGTTTTCTAATACCAGTTTCCTTGATAAGGTGGAACAACTGTCTACTGTGGCCTATCATCACTGCCTTTTCCATCGCTTTTGCTTTCGCCAGCCACCACTGTTCACGGTCGTTTCGTAGGCTTTTTATCAGTCTGCGCTTAAGCTGAATTCGTTCTCCATCATGTTCAGACAGACAGATATAGCGCAGAACTTCGTACGTACGTACATCATTACAGGTTGCCATACCACATCAGCACACAGACGCAACTGTCAGTTCAAATCCAACTGAACTGATGAAGTTTCACTTCTTCATCTATTTGATTTGAATATTCACGACCAGGTACGGTCGTAAATATTCACTGTTGAGGAGTCCCATATTAAGATGGAACGGGCATCCAGTGCTTGCAGGTTTTCAATGATATTGACTTCAACTGTGTAATTAATAATTATTGAGCTTTTATTGAACGATATTACTAGTTTACATTATTTTTCAAATATAACATCACGAAATGTTTCTACTCTGTTACTGTATAAACAAGCAGAAATTAGGAATTGTTTTCGATTGTTGAGCAATCCAGTTTAGAAAAAATAAATATTTTTTTGATAACTACTGAAGATGTCGTTTCGAGTAATATGAAGTTATAAAATCACGTGGCTTTCCTGACTGTTGTAAACAGCCATATCCAAACCATCGCCCAGATATACGCAAAAGCCTGTGTCAAGTGAGCTGAGGCATTGGCACTATTGGTCTTGTTTAATTGTGCGAAGATTCTGTTTTCTGGCGCCTGCATCTATATTATATCTAGTTAACCACTCGTGGTTGGAATTCGGGGTTAAAGAGAATATCTAACGAAAGTCCTAACCGCAGCTGTTACCTTAACGTGGTGGTTGTGCTTGCCTATCGTGATGACTCAATCGAGCTATATTGGTTGGAATATATCTTCCTGTTGGTTTTACGAGGCCAGGCAGGTCGATTGGAGAACGATGAGACTAAAAACATCTACTCAAGGCCTAAGGGCTGCTGACTGTAGAGAGGTGTGACAGCAGTAAGGTGTTTCCTTCGGACAACCAGCATTTGCAACGATGCTGCCTTCTGACAACGGAAAAGTGTTGACACTAAAATAGCACACCTCACTTTACCTCGTGGATTTCCATCTTCAGCGGTACCGCCATTTGAAGAGCGGAGCTAACAGTTTTAATGCTAGTCCTAGAGCTGAACTATCTCTACTACACTGGATCCCAACAGATAGTCGCTTGTGCTCCGTCCGACTAAACTGGACAGTAAGGACTCGGAAAGATAGGGATACACGCCGTTGCCTCTTCGTCATATCTGCTTATACTCCCACTGACTACAGTTCAGACGATGTGAAGGATGAGTTTTACAGAAAGCTTTCGGACCTCCTCCAAAAAGTTGGGCGCTCCAATATAGTGGTGGCCGGTGAGTTCAATGCTCAAGTAGGTAGACTAAGTGAGAAGGAAAGATACCTGGGTGGATGTTATGGTGTCGCGGCTCAAAGAACAGACAATGGCGTCCGTCTGAAGCAACTATGCACGGATAACCGCCTATTTCTGGCAAACACTAACTTTACGCATAAGGAAAAGCATCTTTTGACATGGCGACCCCAAAAGCCGTTCCAACGCTGGACCCAACTATATCACATTGCCATCAGCCACCGATGGAGGGGTTCAACAGAGGACTGCCGCTCGTTCTGGGGCACATGTTTAGATTCAGATCATGCTCTAGCGCGAGCGCGTATTTGTTAGCGACTTTCCGGACGTAGGAAAGACACCGTAAGGAAACCTCTTAGGGTCCTAGTTCGTGATAGAATAGCTATGTTCTATGAAATTTTAAGCTTCTGCATTCCTCATAATCTCTACCTTTCTCCTTCTAAATTTATCTTACTGAATTATACTTCTCGAATCATATCTTCAAACCTTAATCTTCTCCATTACTGCTAACAATTCTATTTTCGCTATCACTCTTGGAACTGAACTTAGAGTTATGTCTCTGTGCTGACGTGGTATGGCAAACTGAACTGATGTACGTACGTACGAAGTACTGCGTTGTCTGTCTGTCTCTACGACCAGGTACGTGGAGATGAACTCAAGACTTTCCATCTTGCGTGAAAACACTTAACCTATAGACTACCGAGTCACATGCATAGGTCTTAATATCTAACATTGACCAATCCATGATTTCATGCCTGTGGTGGATAACTGTCTCAGTGAACACAGATCGAACTTCACTGATCATGGCTTCTCACTAGACCTCCAGGACATACTTCTAGAGGTTACTCACTAGAAAACACAGGGTTGTTATCAATATAAGTGAGTTCTTGAGAATGCAATATTTTCACATCAACTCTATGTTAACTTGTAACACAATAAACTTGAAGTTTTACACAAAAAAATGCAAGCATGTACAAATGAGAGAAATACAATTCTATGGAATTAAAAGACAATGCACTCATTTATCTAAACTGACTGAACAACGGTTAATTATAAGTTGAATATTTAGTTGCATAAACTTGATCGATTTGAGGAGTTAAAACAAATTGCTACAGAGATAAGAACTAACAACATAAGTAAAATACTTAGGGTATAAACACACTGGTAGCGTTTGTCAGTGAAACATTTCTAACTGAAGTAAGATGTAAAGTCAATTTATAATGAAGAGTATAGTAAATAATCTTCTTTATATTTCAGAAAATTTAGCAAACAATAAGTCTTTTTACGATTTCGGGAAATTTGCGATAGCCTACAATGAAAATTTGAAAGGAATAATTATTAGAAAGATTACATGCACATGTATATTTTAAAGTGTTAATAGAAATATTCAAATATGAAATTATAACTAAGTTGATTATATCTAGTGGTTACGGTTATCAGCTTGCTATGAAAAGTTAAGTAGTGTAAATTGAACTGCGAGAATAGTCATTAACGTTTTATATTAAGACAATCATATTATAGGCATGAAAAAGTTTTTTTTAGCTTCTTCTCCATTCCACTTATTAATCAATACACGTCAAAGTACGCGACCATCAGCGGCAAATGTTGTAATAAGAACAGTCTCAAATAAATACGTTGTTTTAAATAAAATGATAGCGTATCGTTTAAACACTAGAATAAGAGATAATTAACTTTGTTAAATTAACTCAAATAGTAGTAATGACATTTATACATATAGCCGTGATTTTTTAAAATATTCGAGTTAAAAAGCTGTGCTACGCCAAATATAGCAAGTTATTTAACTATTACTTAATACAACAAAGGACATTAAAGGCAATTAGTTAATGGTTTACGAATGTCTTATAATTTAGATTTGTTAAGTTACAAAAACAGATTTTCAAGAATCAAGTAATGAAAAGGATATACAAACACTTACTTGCAAGAGAGTTTTACCTAGTTGAGCTGGAGAAGGTGTGACAACAACACCTGCACTTTCTAAAGCTGCCATTTTCTCTTTGGCGCCACCCTTACCTAGTGAAATGATTGCTCCAGCATGACCCATACGACGTCCAGGTGGCGCTGTAACGCCTGCAATAAAAGATACAACCGGTTTGCGTTTTGAACCCTAAAAACAAAAAAAATATCGAGGGAAGTTATAAATAGTTTACAGAAATATGAACAACTAATTTACAGGGAGCATTTCAAGTTGTAGTATACGTGTCATGATTTGTATAACCCTGATAAACTATTAAAATGATTAGCATTGTGATCATAAACATTACTCACACGTTCCTAGTAAACTACTTTATAAATTTATTACTACACGATTAATAAATAGGGATAATATCATTCAAAATAAAAATTAAGTAAGCACATAGATTAGACCAAAAGTCAATGACGACATGAAATAATATCCCATGCATTTTTTCCAATCTACTCCTGAAGCAACATGCGGAGGTGTAAGTGGTGTTTGAACGTACTCAGTACATGTCACAATCACCACATTTGATAAGATTGCACAAACTTGTCAATACTTGACCAATATGTTTAGAGAGTAACCATGCTCGAAAACATAAAATCCAAAATTAGGACCTTTATCAAGTGAGTTCTGGGGATGTAACGTCCTCAACATTAACAGCCCAGTTATTGATACTTTTTTATATTAAAATAACACTTTCTATTTCATAAGTTAATAAATAGATGAACAAACGCTTAGTTCCTCTTGATTTTATATTGGTTCACTTTGAGTAAGCGGCACTTTTTATCTTCTATGGCTACAAATATTTATCAATTATGTTTATACAATAGTTTTGTTACAATTTTATTTCTCATAAAATATTATGTATGTTAACAGTATTATTCATGCGTAGTTTTTTTTCTTTCATTTTTCTGCATTCCAATCTCGAAGAGAAGAAATATGTCCTTTCTGAGCCAAACTTACAATGTACATACACTAAGCTATGAAGTTTCTAGTTTGATGTGCTCTGTACTTATTTATTGTAGGTCAAAATTCAACATATGTGCAAAGAAAAATTTGAAAGAGGTTGAGAATACAAAAACTTACAGTATTATGCTTTTTTAAGAATTCTGCAGCTTGTTCTTCTGAATCACCACCGATTTCACCAAGCAAGATGATTGATTTTGTATTAGGATCGTTTAAAAATATATCAAGACAATCGACAAAATCTGTTCCATTAAACGGATCACCACCGATTCCAACACACAGAGATTGACCGAGACCAACCTACAAATTAAAGTGATTCATAATTGCAATAACTAATTTCAAATGTTATCTTAGAGTGAAAATATAAATTGCTACATTTTGAACACATATTACAGTTCATTACAAATGGAAGAAAATACGTTCGGAATTTCTAGATTATGATGATCATACAAAAAATATGTTGTATGAAGTAGCTGAAAAAATAGAAGAAAACCTTCGTGGAAAAACGACCTATCTTCAATGAAATTTCACTTGCATTACATTGATACATTAACTTTGTTTATTCTGAGAAGCTAAGGAATAATAATAAAACAAACAGGAGCCACTATCGCACTATAGTAGACTAAAGTTGGTTTCTATTAGGAAACTTCTGTGACAGTACAATCTTTTTTTTAACACTTTCAGTGTTCACACAAACGTGGATGTCGTGAGTTTTAGTCAGTTGCAACGTAGAACTTCGTACGTATGTACATAAGTTCATGTTGACATACCACATTAGCAAAGAGACGCAAATGTCAAATCGAATCTCATAGTGATAAAGATAGTAGAGGTATTAATATGGTAATGAAGAAGACTAGGGTTTGAAGATATTATTCAGTGAGATAAGGTTAGAAAAAGAAAAAGGTAGAGGTGCTGACGATTCCAGAAGATTAGGATTTAAGAGAGCACAACGAATGGATGCACTTGCGCCATCGCAAACGATTTTGAGCCATGTCATTCAAGGTCTCTAACCGTTGGTGACTATCGTCTCGCGGACCGCAACCAGGTAGCCTACATCTACCAACATGACTCAGTCCACTTGTCAGTGACTTCATGGATTTCTGCCATGTTTTGGTCTGGCCGCACCTAGCATTCTTCCAACCTACTTCCAACCGAAGCTGCTACCTTGACATGGTGGTCGGGCTCGCCTACCGTGATGATCCGACCGAGCTATATTGGTTTCATTAGCTAGGACTTTAGAATCTCGCGCCATCGATGTGTGCTGCGTCTCGGAAACGCGCATACAGGATCCGAGTAGCATCATTCACTTGATCTCACCATGTCAAGATAAAGAAGCAACTCGATTTACCCTTCATGTTGTGATTTTACAATCACTAGGTCGATTAGTCACAATCGATGTGTGTCCTGAAAAAACTAGGTGTCCTCTCAAATTTAACTCAGTTTAATGTTATTATTGTCTACCATTGAATATGCTATACAACCTAGTGATACACTGTTTTTATCCACATATTGTGCATCTTACACAGTCTACTTTTTTGTCACTCCATGTACTTACTTTTAATTAATGTGCCTCCTGTCATGACGAATCACTGATCTAATTCTGTTGAGCATCTTACAGTTTTTGACTTGTTTTATGATTGATTACTTTAATCTCTCACGTATGACCTAAGCAACCATGAGAATTAATGATACCTATTTCGGTCATTTTATTCTAGCTACATAGAGAGAGCTCTTGCTCTTATTGTTGTTTGCTTTGACTATTCCAATTTATTCATTTGAATTGTAGATGTAGAGTCTTCTGTTTCGAGTGAACTAACTGCATTATATGACTAAATTCGTATTGAGAATATCAGATTTTGTGTAACTTGTATGACTTTCTATTTTTGGACTATATCGGGACAATTATCAATCGTTTGTATTTGTTCTGTTGTTTACATAAGTTACATTATCAAGTCTATATGAAGCAGAACATATTTAATATCTATGACATGATTTATTTTATTCCATTTGATAGATCAGTACTGTTTGAGCGGTTGAATCACAAATTAATTGTAGGCTTGGAACTATTAACAAGTGTAATATATTTGAGATATTTTGAAATCATGAGTGTTGATTACATTATGAACACTCTATAGAATTCCCCAATTAGCAAATATTGCATGCATTAAAATTTTTTGACAAAATAAACATGATAACTTCTGGTAGACTAATTAATATATGTGGTGTACATACACTGCATGGATAAACTTCTAAGTGAAGAAAAATCTACTTAGTCAATCTAGAAGTAATGTGAATTCATTGTAAATAATGTGATGATGGTTGAGATATAACACTGGCTTATATGTATTCATAAATTTATAGTAGAAACGGAAATGCCAGAACTTTCATATGCAACTTGAATCCCGCTATACTTACATCAGTTTGATCAGATAGAAAGTATACTAATTAGTTCCAATGTAAGCGCAACCCATGGACAAGTGTATAACTCTTTATTTGATAGGTAACTTAAGTTAAAACATAAGAACTCGCTTCAAAAAACATGTTTACTTGTCATGATAGTTAGTGCTAATATTAGCATTTTGTTAACACACACATTTTAAGTTATAAATACCATCTAGTATGAAGAAAATAAACCCCAGATAGCGAATTAAAGGCTTTCAGAAAAGTCATACACCCTAGCTTATTCTAAGTTTAATCAAGAAAGATACTGAAAATCAGAAAACTAGCCAAAATGCTAATATGGACACACATATAGTCAGATTTTGTGTACTTTTATATCAAATGACAAGATAGACCGACAACTGCTTAAGGGAATACTATTTCCAGTTGTTTTCGAGTTAAACGAGCCAATATTTATTGGTTAACTGACAGGGATAATAGTTAATAATTCAGTAAAATAACTTAAGCGATTGTCAAATGCTGAAATATATACATATACTAGATAATTTGTCAAAAATACCTGTGTAGTTTGAAAGACAGCTTCGTAAGTCAATGTCCCCGATCTGGATACTATTCCTACCGTTCCCGGTTTATGAATATCCGCAGGCATAATACCGATTTTGCATAGGTCCGGTTTTATTATTCCTGGACAATTTGGTCCAATTAATCGTGAAGCAGACTGGAGATGAATTAAAAAAATAGCATTTGGAATATAATTAACGAGTGCTGAGTGAACTAAGTATATTGAACTGACTGTAGACACTAGTATAGCTTTCTTATTAAACTAAAACAATCCGAATTATTAACAATAACAGCATAAAGATTATATAGACAACCCATTTATCAGAGAAAACGCACAATCTCGCTTGTCGTAAAGATATAAACAATCACTGACAACCTGTTTTGGAAATACACGTGTTTGCAGACTACTTGACCATATGATCCTTAGAAAGTATCCACGATGTACTTTTACGTGGTGGCCCCATATTAAATTTACGAGAAAACTCATCCTTTCGCATTATTACGTATGAAAACTGATAAATTTAGTTCAAACAAAGAAATGTAAAAAAGACGCTGCTTCTAGCGGTTACATACCATGAGATAAATAGTAACTTCTTGTGACACATTAGCAGATTATAATGCTTAGAACCAAATCAACCACATCTGCATCAATAAAAAGTTCAGGATCATAGAGGATGTGAGAACCAAAAGAGGAGCTGACATAACTTTAGATCACAACCTGGTAGTGGCAAAGATGAAACTGAAACTCAGAAAGTACTGGACAACTGGTCGAACAGCATCATAGAAGTTTAATAGGGCTTTCTTCGAGATACTGGCAAATTTAGAGAATTCAAGAAAGCTGTCAGCAATAAATTTAAAGCCTTTGACGATCGACTCAATGAAGAGGAAACTACCATGGAGAACAACTGGAAAGGGGTCGACAAAGCAATAATTTTGGCGTGTCATGAGGTTTTGAACCAGAGGAAACATCACAAGGAATGGATCTCAATGGACACTCTGGATAAGAAGTAAGAAAGGAAGAATAGGAAGACAACAATCAATATCTGCCGAACAAGAGCGGGGAAAGTCAAAGCATAAGCCGAATGCACAGAAGCAAATAAGCAAAGGAAAAAAGCATCAGAGCTGATGTGCGAAACTATGTGGAAGATCTGGCAACGACAGCAGAAGAAGCTGCAAGAGAAGGAAACATAAGGCAACTATAAGACACAACGAAGAGGCTCGCAGGAAAATATGGCGAACCAGAACAACCAGTGAATAACAAGGAAGGCAAAGCAATGACCAACATTCAAGAACAGTGAAATAGGTGGGTAGAGCACTTTGAAGAGTTCTTGAATGGGCAAGTCCCACTAAATTCACCCAACATCTAAGGATCACCTACATACCTCCCAATTGATGTTGACTTACCAACAATTGAAGAGACCAAAATGGTCATCAGGAAAATAAAGAGTGCCAGAGCAGGAGTCCAAACAATATACTAGTTGAGGCATTGAAAGCAGACGTAGCAGTAACTACAAAGATGTTTCACACTTTGTTTAGAACGATTTAAAAGGAAGAATAAATCCAAACAGACTGGAAAGAAGGATACCTTATCAACATATCAAAAAAGATATCAGCAAGTGTGAGAACTACAAAGGCATTACTCTAATCTCAAACCCGAAAGAGTCTTTAACAGATTGCTGTTAAACCGAATGAAAGGTTCAGTAAACACCCAACTTCGAGATTAACAGGTTGGATTCCGTAAAGATCGATCGTGTACGGACCAAATCACAACACTATGGATCATTGGGAAATAATCAATTGAATGCGACGCACCACTGTTCATCCACTTCCTTGACTACGAGGTGCATCTGGTAACGTGGACAGGATGACACTGCAGAGGCTTCTTCAAAACTATGGTGTGCCTGAGAAGACAGTCAATATCATACGGGATTCCCACGGACTACACAGCCAAATCGCACGTGGAGGACAGCTTACAGAGTTATTCTAATAGAAAACTGATATCATAGGTCACTTACCCTCACCCTTTCTTTTTCGACTGATGGGTGACTGCATTATGGGGACAATCACACCTGAGGCGAAGCACGGAATGCAGTGGACAGTTCGGATGCAGCTAGATGAATTGGACTTTGCAGATGATCTTTATCTCTTATACGAGACGCAACAGCAAATGCACGAGAAGACGACCAGTGTAACAACAGCCTCTGCAGCAGGTCTCAGAATACATACGAGAAAAGTAAGACCATCAGATAGAACACACGACACACTGACCAAATCACACTTCACAGAGAAGCTTTGCAAGAGGTAGAAACTCCTACATATCTGGGCAGCATCATTGATGGGCAAGGTGGATACGAAGCTGATGTGAAGGTGTGGATCGGTAAAGCAAGGGCAATATTTCTACAACTG